TTTCTTTTCCAGTAGAGGTTCTTACCAGTTTTAAAGGCAACGATGATTCCTCACAGCAGCTGTATTTACCTCATAGCTCCATGTTTGAATGGGTATGCCACTATGCAAAGGTCAGTTACTTTCTTTCAGATACTTCTTTCAGATTCTTTCGAAGACAGTTTGACAGCTGATGAACACTTTTTTCTTCTTTCTCTAGTCCAGTACTTTTGGAAGAACTTGATCATGAGGAAGCTGGCTTCCTCTCCAAGGCTTTAGTAGATCTTTAGCCCTTGAAAAACTACTCTAACCTTGAAATAGAAGAATTTCTTAACCATTTTGTTTCTTCCTTGTGCTGTCTAGCTCTGCTGCCCTCACATTGTGTTTTATCAGTACTGCAGATGGTTACTCCCTTTTCGAGCTCCCCTCTAGTTCACATAACTCTATTCACATTGATGATTTTTCCTATTTTGTTGATAATTTTTCTTTTAAAATCACTGTTCAGCTTCTCAGATTTGAGAATTTTTGTTTTAACATCAGCAATTTCTGTCCTTGCTTATCCAGCTATTTTTGTTAGGTTAGCCTTATACATTTTAGACCTAATTTTAGTAGCAGTCTTTGCATTATCCAGTCAATAACAACAGCGTAGCACACAACAACATTTGCTACTGCTCATCTTGAGTTGATTTTATTTTATTAGTTGTTAAAACTTGGAGAACATTTTATACCTCTGCACACGTAGATCCAAGTCCACAGAGCTGAAATGTTCTGCAAGATGCCCTCAGACAGTCTATCAAAGCCTTTTGAAAATCAAAGAAATAAGGGGAGCCTATTAGCTTATACACTCCTCTCCAATTGCTAGCACACTCTTCTAATCTATTCAAAGTACTGAAAGCCTCAGTTGAGCCTGATCCTTGTTCTGCATCCGCTGTCACTTTACTTCCCTTCGTATCATCTTGCAGACTCTTCAGTGTCTCCCCAGCTGTGGCATTCAGCAAGATCATCCTGTTGGGGCACTCAGATAACAGTTCAGTGTTCCTACAGTTGAGGAAAAATCTCTTTCTCCCATGCTCCATTGCACAAATCCCTCAGTGTCATTAAGCTGCTGTTGTCAGGTGCCACCAGCATTTCTGATGGGATTTGATCAGTCTTCATCTCCTGGGAGTTTTTCAGCTTCTTACAACTTGTGTTAATGTCATAATCAGGCTTTTCAGCTTTCACTACTGTTTGCCATTGTGGTTGTCTAGAATAGTTAAAGATTTCTCTGAAGTGATCTGCATATTTGCTCTCCTTTCTGTATTAGCTGTGAATGTTATCCTCATTTTTGGCTTTGTTTGGCACATTTCTTCCATTTACTCCCCTGCTGAAATGCTTTGTCTTTTCCCACTATAGCAGCAGCATCTGCTTTATCTCTTATATTTTTCATGTTTCTCTGTCTTTCACAACAATATGCTTTTCATTAGTGGTTTAGTTTCTGCTATTTCCTTTGTGCCTTCATTCATTTTTTCTTTTTTTTTTTTTCTTTTTTTTCAACCACTTTGGAGTTCTCCCTCTTGGCTTTTCTCTCTGCGAAGGGACACATTTTCTACTTGTTCTTTTTTCCATTTATGAGTCTTGCAGTTTAGTAACATTGCTGCTGAGCTAATCTCAGTGCTGCTGAGTCACTTTCACCCGTGTCTGACAAAGCCTCAAATGAATTCTTCAGCACCAATCTGAGTTTTCTCCCAGTATTTTACTGTAGTTCCATTTTGTACTGTTTGCCAGTTCTGGCTAACACTTCAAGTCGCTAATTTCACTTATAGGTTGGCAATACAAGATTTTGGTCAGTGCTGCCAGTGATAGCATGCCATACCTATGCCTCGGACAAGTGCCTTAAATCTTAATTTGTCCTTTGTCTACTTCGTTTTGCCATCTACCAAACACAACTGTGCAAATTTATTTGTGTAACTGCAATGATTTCAAGATTAGAAATGAAGTCTAATTTGACAACTCCTTTTTTGACAACAAAATAAAAGGCTTTCTAACTCAGAGTACAGTGTCCCATCTCGGGGCATGGTTTGTACTGCATTACTAAATATAGAGAACAGCAGAAGGTCCTTCCAGCTCTGTCCTCCCATTTAAGCAGTACGGATTTCCAGAACCAGATGTTTCACCAAACCCACTGTTATTAAATAACCAACACGATTCCTGCTAAACTCTTTCTGGACTGATTTCTACTTTGGAGTCCATTATACTCTGTGCCAATGGGTGACATAAAGCAATTGTAAGTTGTGTAAAAGGTCCACTTTACTTTTTTTTAACCTCTTGAAAGATCTGAACTCACTGTTCTGTCTAAGATATAACTACAAGGACTATATGCTTACACGTCACCATCGCCCCACCTTAAATGATTCTAAACCACATCTGCTGCACTGCTTTTTCCTCTGTCCTCTCTCATAGCTACAAGTGCAGCTCACCAAGCCCCTTGAGATCATCATTTTTAAGAGCTTTTGTCAGTGGACCTGGGAAAAAGTACTCTCATCTTTAATAACAATCCACCTTCACAGAGTTATAAATACATTCAAAAGGAAATCACGTTCTCACAGAAGTCTACATCCCACACTTACTCAACATTTATCAACATTTCTATTAATTTCTCAGTGTGCAATTTGGACCTACTGGTCTGTAGCTCTCACTATCATTACTGGCAGTCTCTTTAAGAGCGGATGTCACATTTCCTATCTTGCATTCCTCCTCTGCTACTATTACTGTATGCAGTGGCTTATTCCACAGTAAATATTTCAGTAGTTTTGTAGAGGAGTTTTTTTGGAAGTCTAAGGAGAACTACCTGTGTGACCTATAGTAGAGTGTTAGCTTTAGCAGGCAGGTTGGACTTGATGGTCTCTCGAGGTCCCTTCCAACCCCTGCAGTTCTGTGATTCTGTGACAATTCAGAAAATCTTTAAGAAGACTTTGAAGCTCTTCCAGCACTGGCTGACTTCTAGAAGCTGGTCACCATCATGCTGATTTGTACCATTCATTTTGTCAAGATCCTCCAGTCACAGAACCATTTTGATTGTAGATCATAATTTTTACACTCTCGGTCACTAATAAAGATCATGTCAGAATGAAAACTGTATCGTCATATTCTGTCAATAATGCTTTGGAAGTAATTGTTGAAATCATCAAGCACTATTTTCAGTGCTGTGATCTTTGGGAATGGAACAACAGATGTTTTACCAACAGCTGATCCTTTAGTAACTGTTTTAGACCTAGCATATATGTTCTTGATGAAACAAAGATGATGATTTCCCCTTCTTTCTGGGGAAAAACAGTAGTAAATATTCTGTTTTATGCCTGATTCACCTGTTCAAATGTCATGATAAATCTTTCAGGGTAACAAGTATTCTTTAAAAAAAAAAAGTAGGCTTATTTTGTTTGTAACTATTGAAAAGTTCTTTAGAAACAAGGAAAGGTGTGTATATGCTTCTTGGTTTATGTTGGTACTAAATGTTCAGAGATCCTGTCTGGTTCTTTACTCATATATTACTTTGGAGGAATGGCTGATTGCCACAAAACTAAAAAAGTACCTTTCTTAATCAGTAGATTTTGTGAAAAAGATTTCTGTGTGTGCTTACTAAATATTTTTTAAAAGTAGTGAACATGTGCAGGAAACCACATCTAAATACTCATCTGAAAGAGCAAGAACATATCTAATTTCATTCATAAATTTCTTATAAAACAATCGATACATCATTGAGAAAAGAAATCAAGGCAAACTTACAGGAGCTGAAGATGAAGTAATCTACTGTTTTCATGTTGCAGAACTAGAGAGAAAAGTCTTACTCACAAGGAACACTTCCTTCTTCATGATGTTTGTTTTACACAGCCAATAAAAGCAAGTAACATTACCATGAGGACTAAAATGTCTTAGAATTGGAGATAGATTCTACTGCTAAGTTAACATTAGGCAACTAAATAACTGCCTACAAACACTTTTCATAATGAAAAGCTTTATAAATACAGTTAAGTCAGTAATTTGAATCATTTGATTCATTGATTCATTCATTAAATGCAAAGACTGTCAGAATCGGAGAAAAGAACAGAAAAAAAAAAGAATGTCACTGTTCATTCTGTGATTTCCTGCCAGGATATTAAAGTCTTTCAAAATGAACCACACATTTGTAACACAGACAGAGCAGGATTAGGAAGACTGTGGGATCAAGTGTTCCAAAAACCAAAATGGAAATGCTTATCTAGTTATGGAAAATGGATGCTATTAATTTCAACAATACAGCATATTGTGTGCACGCCTACGTCTTCCAAATGTAGGTAGTGAACATGTGCCAGCTTCCATTCATTTCTTCTTCGTAAATTGAAAGTTTCATAGAATATTCTGCATTTACTGAGGCAACAGTGAGATTGCATGAGATATTACATATAAATATACTTTGAGTGAGATAAAAGCAGAAAGTTCATTGGACTAGTAGATACTACGTAAGTGTAATATCAACAGTTTACAGATTCTCCTTAATATATCCATACTTTAGAAAAAAAAACACTACACAATCAAGTTTAAACTCCCTTGGACCTAGAATTATTTAGAGATTTCTCTTGGGTGCAATTACTGTGCAGCTAGTGTCACAAATATATTGAAACCAGACATCCTTCCCAGCAGTGGTAAAGCAGGCAGACACTTTCAGCATGCAGTGACTACAAATCCCATGAACCTCTTGGTACTTGCATTATTGGTCTGACTTTCAAAAATGACTTCAAACATGATAGGTTTCCTTGATATTTAATGACCATCTATAAACATATGGAGACATCACTGGGAGACAACTGTTCAGCATTTTTTCAAAAATCACATTTAATTTCCTCTGTGCTTGCAGCAAAGCAGTCCTGTTTGGAAATCTCACCTTCTGAGAAACAGTCGTAATCCTTACCCAAGAAGACTGTCCTCCAAATGGGAAGCTGTACACCTAACATAAATGAGCCTGTACCACACAGTGATTGGGAAGATTAAAGTAAAACAAGGCTTCTTACCTTTGCTTTGCGAAAATGGTAGACTACCAGCATGCTTATGAAGTCCAGCAGCATACAGAGCGTTTGGAATGAGATGATAGCAAGCCGTAAATACTTGTCCTCCTGTGCATAGCAGGGAGTATCATCTTTACAATTAGAACATCCTTCCCTGCAGGGCAGGCAGGTGTAGACTTCCTCTGACAAGTCCCCTCCAGAAAAGCGATTGTCTGCATCCTTTCCTGAAAATATGAAGTGGGGAAGGGGAGGCTACTTTAATTGTACAGCATGGGCAGCTCATTCATACAGGAGCAAAACAGTTCTCTGCTTACTCCTCTTGCCTCCCTGTTTTCCTCTTTAAAGTAGTTTGCCAGGGCTGCTTTTCTCATTTCACCTCCTTTGTCATATTTAGGAAACACAGATCAATTCAGACAGGGGGGAGAGTGGGTTTATTAAATGCATTCCCATTGTATCTAAGATGGGCAAAATTTGCAGAGGACATTCTTTGAAGGATACTTGCGAATGGGAGAAAATTACATCAAAGATTTAGGAACAAGGACACAATTTTACACAGGCACATGAAAAACAGATCCATTAACTACCTAATGTTTACAGTACAAGCTCTGATCCTATTTGAGATTATTTCTGAATTTCATAAAGACACTCTCTAGTGAAATATTAGCTTCCAATCAAACAAAACCACTCTTAATTAACATTTATTCAGCAATCTGATGTACAATTGCAATACTCTGTGCCCAGATAAAAACCAGCATATTTACACTATATAAATGTATAAATGCATAATTTTCCACAGTTCACAGAAACACACTAGAAAACCTCGAAATCCAATTGGCAATTTAATATCCTGTGAAAATCAATTGCTCCTGAGCTGACATCTGACCCATCAAAGCACACCCACCAACAGAGCATACAAGAGCAATCCTCTCTTTCTGATCTGTAAAAACTTGCCCATAAAACCCCAGGAAACTGACAGAAGAAAAGGGTGAAGGAAAGGGGAAAAAAACAAAATCATGCTAAATAAGAAAGCAAGCAGAATTTGCTGAAAATTCTTAACATAAACAAGACAAGTTTTGGAGCTTCAAAGAATGTGGCTGAGAGAATCATAGAATATGGCTGAAGGCAAATAAAATGTTTTGCACAAGGCTAGAGAATTGTTCTCACATTTTTGATCAAAACTCTCCTCCTCCAGCAGTGAAGGCAGTAAATCCCAAATTATGTAGTCTTAATTCAAGAGATAGAATATGTCAGTGACATTTCACATATACGCAGTGGTGTATGAAACTCTCTTCAGACTTCTAACTTCAAACATTTGAAATTGAAGGTTATCTACAAGGGTAATTACTTCTTCTTTTCCCAAATGCATGTGTGAGGAACACACATCTACTGCCAGGCAAAGCTTCAGAAGGGCACAAAGCAGCCATATACCCCAGTCTGGCTGTTTGGTGTGCTGTTCCAGCAGCCCTGTCCTCCTTGCTTTTAGAGGAAGATTCTTCTCTCGCAAATCCTGCAGTGAGAACAGGCTGATATTTATTTTTATGAAGACAGTGGATTTCTCTTTGGAGAAGCTGAACTGGGAAGCTCTCCTGGGACTGGAGACATAGCACTGTTAGACACATTAAGTCCCATACTCAGACACAAGAGGTGTACAAGCACCTTTTTCTGAGCAGATTCCATATTCAATACAGCAAGAGCTGAGGGGAATCTCTGCAATACGTTGACAAAGTATTGTTAAAGAATGCAATTTTAGGTTGAATAAAACACCACAGTTCTACCAGGAATATTCCAATGCAAAAGTGATTAACCTGTGAGGCAGAGAACGAAGTGCTTTGGAGGTGACTGCTATGAAAATGTTAAAATGTATGCATTCACAAATTAATCTACTCTACCTATAGTAATACTGCTTCCTCAAAGTGAGCCATTAGGAGAAAGTACATAATCATGTACTCAAGCAATTATGGGTTAATGCAACTCGTATAATTTTTCACATGTCTTTTTCTAAAATCAGTTTCTGATGAGATTGAGTCACAAACCCTATGTGAATATGGCTTGAAAACCTGTTATGGTCATAAATTTTATGTTCTTTATTTCTTAAAAGTTCAACCTTGAAAGCTGATCAAAAAAGACACCAGAAATACGGCAATAACTCTATGCCCTGTTGGTCCTCATTAACCAATGCAGTGGTAAAAGAGAGGTTTTACATATTTTGGCACTGCCAGTTCTGAAGCCCAAACTCAGCTTTGGAAGGAAAACAGCTTTCCTACCTGACTTCCTCTTTGGTAAAAGAATGGTACAAATTTCAACCCCTGCTCCATACACAGTTCTGGAACCTGCAGCCTGAGATGTGCAACCTCCCGGGGAGCAGCAAAACTGTACTCTTTAAGTTAGAAAAACGGAATCTTTCCTACTGCGGACACTGTTTATGCAACATTGCATCTGAGTGTTCAGGTATCCAGCTGAGTTTGCTGAGGAGGTAGACAAGCAATCTTTGAAGCCTGCCTGCTGAGCAAACTGCACAGCCTGTCAAACATCCCTGCAAAGCCATTTTGTACTGCTGTTTCAGACTCAGCCCAAACACTCATCTGGACCTAAAGAAAACCTTGTTTAAAACTTAAAGCTCTGTCACTTCAGTCACAACGTACAACTGCAGTTAAACATATTTTGTTGCAGAGTCCCAACATCACTAAGGAATGCTTCCATTTCAAGATACAACACACTGAATTCAATTTTTCAATTCATGGAATTACAAAAGTGATCAGCTTTTCTATCTACTTACCTATTTACATCTTATCTTGTGACCTGCAAAACTTTCCGGCCTCTTGATTCTAATCTTCCAGGAATATTTTCTAAACCATTAACATTTCTACTCAGTTTCGTCTCTCTTATCAGACCTCACCAACCTAATTCCACACAAAGACCGTCAGGTCAGACAGTTTCTGTCAAAATTACTTGTAGTATTCATGTCTAGAATCCGTGCATTAGTATCAGTTTGAATCTCCAAATATATCATTCAGCCATTTTAACCATTTTTCTTTTCACAGAATGCAGTTGGATGACAGGGCTAAGTTCCCTTGAACCAGTTTTTTCTGCCATTACTCCACAGTTACTTCCACAAGCAGTCTTACTGCTCACATTCTGAAATCATCTATAGAGCCTGGCAAACACAGCTGCATCTAGTTGAATTAAAAGCAGTTCTTTATTAATGACCTTTCCTAACCTCTTGCACACATTAACTCACAGCAACACATGGCCAAATCAAAGAAGTCCCAGATCATCTAACTCTCAGACCTTAAATATCAGCATATGCAAACAGTTCTGTGAGAAAATTTCAGCGTAAGATATTGAAAAGCAAAATTTCTTGCCTAGGTTAGCCTTGTAGGCTCCTCCATCTATCACATACAGACAAAAGCGGTTATTTGCCTGAAGAGTTAATGCCTCCATCTAAACACAAGCTTCCAAAGCAGCAGGACTAGCCTCCAGGGGAGCCATGCTCTCCCTACTGACTACAGTGGAAACCAAGATGACTAACACATGTCATGCATCTGCACTTTATACAGCCCATATAAGATAAAAATCCCATTCCTTATGATCAGTGCCTTATTATGTTTGTGCATTTTTTCGCATTTGGTATGATAAGAAACTAAGAATGATTTTTCTTATATGCTCATTTGAAGAGTTAAATCCCAATTCTATCATAACTCACTGCACCGCAGGAGCAACCAAGCATCATTCTCACTAGTAAAAGATTCATACAGATCCAAGAGAAAAAAACACTATCACAAGGGTGACTTTCTACAACATTCCACAATATGAAAAGAGAAACAAATGCTCATCAGGTAAATTTCTGAATAAACACTGTGCTATTTATGCAACATATATTTACAGGAGATCGAATATAGGCTGTTAGGGGTGAGATATCTTGGCCAATTCATACCCAAACCAGATTAGATCAATAAAAATGGGTCATCGTCTGACACAGAATGAATACATTTCTGGGACTCATGACTGCAAATAAACATGAAATTTGAAAGCTTTCCTTATGTTAAAAAGCTACCTGCCTTTCACCTAAAATCACCAACACTTTTTAAATAAGAAAGCAGAACTTGTAGAAGAAACTTAGAAACGTTCTTTGCAGCTCTTGAGCTCACATGACATAATATATTTAACCCAATTATCAGGTACACTGTAACACACGACAAAGAATCTGGGGAGTGGATTCATTAGCAAAGTAGGAGGCAAAGCAGGATGCCCCATTACACCTTCAAGCAATACCATTACACTTGTGACTGCAGTATGAACTGTACTAGTGTAACTGCAACAATTTTAGCACAGCAATTATATCTTGGTAGTCATAATTTCATATGATGAAAGTAACAGACAGCACCTTTAGTGATGCTTGTTTACATGTTTTCCTTGAGTATCAACTCAGTTCTATTCCCTTACTTCCCTGAGCTCAGTTTAAGTATCAAACACTGCTTTCCAGAAAGCGTAGGCTGCATGTCTTCCATACCAAACCACCAGCCAGACTCTCAGAGATGACCCGTCTCTAATTCCCCATTTGTAAGAATTAGAGCTTGAATGTGCTCCTTTGGATTCTCCTTTGAACATGAAATAAAATTAAAACAATTAAAGCACTTACAAAGCCAGAGACCAGAGCATTCCAGTTTACCCTAACAAAGGAGAAAATTGCTAGATTAAATTCCTCAGTACTTTTGCCTGAACACAGATGCCAGAAATCTTTACTTCCCTATAGCAAGACTTCTTTTCATATTTTTAAATTTATTTACAAATCAAATATTCTTAAAGTGGGTATGTTTTACAGGATCCTCAAGAGCATCACCAATGACAAATCAAAGAGCTAGAACTCCTTAAGCGATTATATAATCCAAGAGTTGCAACACTGGGATTTCACTGTATAGCCCTGACTGGGATGAAAAGGAGCCCTCTATTATTAATGCTCTCTCTGCTTTTTTTTTTTTTTTTCCTAACTCAAGCAAAGGCACTTACTCTGAAAGCTGTTCACTGAAAAGATGTTGGGGTGATAGAATCCCTCCTTGCAAATACATTTGTAGGCTCCAAGCACAAATCCAAGACCTTTAATCGGCAAGCACTGTGAGAAAAGAAAAAAGAAAAGTAATGCAAATGATCATACAGTGATATACTCAGATGTACATTCAAGCATAAGAAAAACATTACAAGATACAGTGAGCAGACTTCAAAGAGATGCTCCTACCAGTCTTACAGTATTTTCTCCACGACTTTTCCCATGGCTATATGTCAACTGCACTTTTTTTTCTTGCAGTTAATTACTAGCAAACAGCAGTTTTAAAACGATTCCCATGACAGTTCAAATAAGTGCCTAACCTAAGTTCCATCCACGTGAAGCAGGACATGGTTACCAGGCTACATCCATGGTACAGTTGAGCACAGGCCTATAATTAAGTCCCAGTCCCAAATTCCACCTCAAACATGTACTGAACCAGCCTCTGGAAAGCAGGGTACACATGCATCCCAAGCAGTGCCTGCAGAGCACAGTTCTGAGCACACTAAGATGCAACTGTCCTGGTCTCCAAACACTCTCCAGCAGAGCACAGGGGGTTCAGAGCGCTGGGGCCACCTCACACAGGATGAAAGAGTGTGGATGTCTGTGGCCCACCTATTGATCCTCTGCAGGCAGCAAGATATGCTGGGATCAGGGCAGACCCCCTGACTGGCAACCATAAATTGGTGGAGATTTACGAAGTCGTAACAAAGACAGCAACTGGTTAAACAAAATGCCCGTGGCCCAAACCTGATCAAGGTCAATGACAGCAAACAGGTGAGAGTGGGAGCCACACACTTCTGAGCTCTCTTGCCCCTTTTCAAGGAAATAACATATGAAACAAGTTTTACTTTAACTCAGATTCATTTTTGCTAATTCCAACATGAAGACCAACACAGCAAACTTATGACAGTAACAGAACATCTACTGTCAGATCATTTCCATACAAGAAATAGGCTGTGACCCGCACAGAGGAAAGGGTTTGGCAGTAATGAAAGCAGAAATGCTGGTAAAATGATTTCTCCCCAGTAATGCATATATCATTTACCAGATCAAAGTAAGCTATCGTGCTAGATACCCATCCCATCAGTACAGGTACCAACACACAGGTACCAATTTGCTGCTGTGAATAGGAAGTACACAATCATATTCCCTCAAGGAAAAACTGAATGATCTAAGTAAAGTACCTTCTGCCCTCTCAATTCTGCCTGCAGTTTCACTTGTTTGCATCTGACTGTGACTTCAGGGTATGTTTAAATCTCTGCCTGCCTGTGGCTGGGAGGAAGGCGCTGAAGGCAGGCTGAGTAAAAGAAGATCTGAGTTTCAAAAATCAAAGGCAAACTAAGAGAGTACTTAAAGAAAAGTCAAATATTTATCTTGAATTTCAGCTTTGTGATATAATCCTGCCCAACAGTGAGAAAGCCACCTGGCTTTTCTTACCCTCAAGTGGGCAGAGCCATCTCTTTCCAGACGCACAGTGCTGAGCACAGCACATCAGTGGAGACCGGCGGGTGCTACTGGGAAACAAGTCAGCAGGAAACCAGCATGCACAAACACCAAAAATGCATTCAGCCTTTGTAAACATGAAAGCAGGAAAAAAAGCAAAGAGAAGGCCCAAATCATTTTTCTTCTCACTTCATCTACTGCAGAAAAGAGACTGTTGACAAGGGAGGGCTGGAGAAACCAAAATGCATAAATCCAATGACAACAAAGCCGCTTTTAGCCAAGCACAAAAGAAGCAGCTAAAGAAGGAAAAAGAATGCGCGAATTCTGTCATCTCTAGCACCTTTCAGACACTGTGCTTCAGGAAATGTATTTCAGGGGGAAATTCTGTTCTTGCTTTCTGGTTTCTTCCTTTATAACATGGAGGTACACATTGCTGCAGATAATGCCTTTTCTTTCTGAAGCCAACAAAGAAAAGAGCAAGCTTCAGCACAGCACCCCCAGGACCACAGCCACAATACATTCTCACTGCACAAAAAATCTTCACATAAAAATGTGTCACAAACTCATGAGAGTTTGTCACAAACTCATGAATCTGCTCTGTGTTAAAATGAACGCTTTTTACTGATGATCCTTTTACATACATCCAATATTCATACCAACAGCAGTTCATAACTTTTATGTTTTATTGTTCCTAACCAGTACAGAACTTGAAAATGAACCAAGTATTTCAAAAGCTGCTATCTTTTTTGATGTAACATATTATCCTTGTTTCCAGTTCTTGGCAGCTGTAGTGTACAACTTAAGAACTATTGGTCAAAATCTACTTCTTGCAGTCCAAATAATCCCATGAAAGGCATAAAAGACATCAGAAAATCAATCTGTGGAAAGGAAAAGAGGAAAGAAAGCAAGCCTGGATCCCTCCAGAAAGCAGTAACAGTTTCACACTGTACTCAGAGACTACTAACATTGAATGAAAATAGAACCATTTACATTTTATTTGTTGCGTTTTGTTTTGCTGTTGTTGTGTTGATTTTTATTTTTTTTTTTAAGAAATTGCAGCAGCAAGGCAGGGAAGAATATGGAATATCACATGACCAAAAAGGGGAAAAGTCTTTTTGACAGCGATTTACAAGTTATTAAATATTATGGAGATCTTAGTCCTCCTCAGGTTCTACAGGGTATTAGGGGAAGAAAAAAAAAACACTAAAAATGCACCCAGCATTGGCTGCCTTAACTTTGAATATTTCAAATTTTTCAAAGCACAAAAGCAGCTTTCAAAATCTGTATTTCTGCATGCATACATGGTAACGATGACTGCCTCACCTAAAGTCAACTCCTTGTTCAAAGAGTGGAGTAAGAGTAAAGTAAAGACACAACAGAAGAAGTTTAACAGAAACATTACAAATCAAACCACATTTCCTTGCAGTGGCATACAGCAGCACAGGTGCAATTTCTGGAAGATCCTGTGTAAGTAAGGGTTGATTTGTGCCCGCTGAGAGTGCAGGGGCTCCTTTCTTACTGCTTACTGCACTGTCAGGCACACACACTCACATGGGGAAAGAAACACCAGAAGACAGAGTAAGATTCCATTCACTGAAGTCAGTAACGGTTTTATCACTGAAAAGGATTTAACTACTATATTTGCTCACCTCATTTACCCACCATGAGCAAGATTTCATTTTGAAATGTTTTTGCAACCTCCTCAGATGTCCACAGCATCCTTGGCCTTGTGTACACACTGGGAGCCAGCAGCTTGCCTCTGGGCAAATAATACTACTCACAAGCTTCTTCTCTTCAAATGCATTTTATTTCAAAAGGAAATGATAGAGCTGGTCAATCCATATCCTGCACTTTAGGGTTACCTGGTAGGCTCCCATGACTTTTATCCTCTCTCCCAAGTGCATCATTGCACTTGGATCTTTTTTTCCAATAAAATTCAAATTTGAGAATGTGTTTCCCAGCAATTACGTACTTACTATAATGATGGTGGATTGCTTAAACCCTGAGTCAGACAAAGCAATAGCTGATCTGATTCAGCTTGCAGCAAAGGCAGGCATCAGAAGAATATTTGTCACAGGTGAGTAACTGATGTACAGGTAAGTTTGAAGCTTTGCTAAAAACTCCATGCTGCTTCTTAACACCATTTCTCATAAATCTGATTTTGTTTAGCTATAGCACCACAGTAAGTAGTGATAGCAAGGAGTCACAGCTCGTTCACACTACTAATTAGAAACATGTGATCATGAAAGATATTATTAATCTTAGCTGTAAGCCAAAACATTCTTGAAACAGAAAAGCTATTAGCAATATGTATTTTATTAGGATACTCTGGCTACTAATGATAAATCACAAGCAGAAATATTAATGTCAAATCAGGCACAGTGCTGGCAGGAATCACAGAATCACTAAGGTTGGAAAGACCACTAAGATCATCTAGTCCAACTGCCAACCCAAGCCAGTGACCGCTCAGAGCAACATCTACTCTTATTAGAAGCCACATGCTGAACGCTCCAGCTTGCAGAGTTTCTAATTCCCTCTTTCTGCAGTGAGTAGCAGCGCAGTCACCTGGCTGTGTGCCTGAGGAACTTCAAGGAACTTGCTTAGAAGAGAGTAAAGCCAAGTGTCACAGTGTTTGGGTGCAGGTTTCTTGGTGTGAGAGCTCAGCATTAGAAAACTCATCTTCAGCTATTGTCATATGTATGGAAAACCCAACCTCAGCTTACAAATGAAGCTTTCACAGTTCAGATCATGAAAGCACAATAATTATACCAGACAGTCTGGGCACTCAAAGGTTCAGTAGCAATAACGGTGTGTAAGTCAGATTTTTCATTAGAGCTGAAAAATACCATACAGGCAGGCTACAATCAGGCTACTTTTAAAGAAAGAAAGAAATCTGTGTATAAAACAGATTGGAATTGTTACCATTAACCTGAATACCATTTTATAACATACTAAACTTTGCTTCTGATGAATGTGCAAACTCCACTGCAATTACAGGGGAACATGTTAACAGCCACCAAAGGGACCGATTATTGTAAAGCCATTAAATTATGTGGTCTGACTAGTTTGAAGGCATTCTGTCAGGGCCAGCTTTCACTTACACTGATGACAAATTAAGACATTTTTACTATTAGCGTGGGTTAAACAGCACTAAGAATAAAGTCTTATTCACTTACTTATGGTCTTATCTGCATTAGAAAGAATTATCTTAACACTGAATCTTTTCTCCTACTGTGAGGACAATTTTGTATTTTACACATAAGCAATACTGGAAATGCCAAACCTTATCTGCAGACCTTCCAGAAGCTGTCAAGGAATACACCAAAATACACACAGGTCCTTTACCTTAGAACTTCTGGTTCTATCAGCTACTTCTGCATTCATCTGTGACTTGGCAACAAATGTTTCAGAAGTTAGCCTTGGAGATGAGCCATGCAGTCATAAAGAGGAAAGAGAAAGCTTGCGAATAATGCGAAACTGAGAGGCATTTCCAAAATCCTTCGGTGGAGAAAAAGCTGCACTTCTTTCTGATCCCTGTGAAGGGTGGAGTTACGAGGACCAGAGAACTCTGTCTCACCAAGTCACATTCCATTAAGTGATCAACAAATCAGCAGGATTTTGCA